CCTCCCCACTGATAGCACGAAGCTAAAGCTGTCAGCGGCGCGAGCCCGGGACCCACCTCTGGCAGCCACTGGGCCCGGGGTGCTCCCCAGCACTCGGCACCCATCGCAGCTCCGGCCGCACCAGGACATGCCGGGTTGCTCCAAGCGATGCCCTGGAGACACACGTCACGCGCTTACTTAAACCTTCCAGCCCTTTCCTCCCCTCTGACACACAACTCCGCAATGATGGATGCTTGGAAGCCCCAGGCCGGAGGGGTGAGGCAGATCCTCCCCCCCGTGGTTTAACCCCACGGACACGCAGAGCTGTGACAGCCTGAACTGAGCCCCCCCCTCCCCGGCCCCGCATCTCCCTCAGCAAAGCCTGGCATCTAGAAGACGCTGTCAAATTTGGCATGTCCTTCTCTAAGCCTCTCCCAGCCCCTCCCATTGCGTCTCACGCCTCGTACGCTTTCACCACGTGGCGTTTCCAGCAAACATTGACCCGGCAGACAAAGCCCCCACCGGCCTCACTGGCAAACCGGGCACTGGTGGACGCAGCCGCCGCCTGATGCGCGGCTGTGCTCAGCCGACATCCCTGCTCCGCCGAGTGCCGCGTCTCCCCCCGCCCTCCCATCCCGAGTAATTCATTCCCCCCCTGCCCCCCTCCCCGGGGCTGGGGGTCACACAGCAGGGAGAGCCCCGCTGTGTATTGCATCCCAATTTGCTATGCATTTCCACACCATTTCCTTCCCTTTCTTTTTCCCGAACTGGAAAGATGCTGCTACCCGGGGGTCCCATCTGCTCCAAGATGGTAATATAACAACAAACATATACATACACGTATTTATTTATGGCATACACAGAGTTTGCAGGAAAACCGCTGCCTCTTGAAATGCCTGGTCTGGGGGTGGCACGTGCCCCTACGATCCCCGCACACCGCCACAGGGCCCGGACGCGACGCGCTCGCCGGTCATCCCATCCTGCAAACTGCACAGCTCCGTACCCGGCCGCGGTGCCCAGATGATATGCAGATCTCTGTGCTTCAATTGGCTGATGCCTTGGGAAAACAACCACCATTTGCCCACAACAAACATGGCTACCGTGGCCCAGCCGCCCCCCGGGCTGGCCCCAGCTCCATCCTCTGAACTCAGGAATACCACGCGCGCTTGGCACCCCCTCAGAAATCCCCGTCGCTGTTAACCCCGGCCCAGGGAAGCCCCAAGCCCGCAGCGCTGGAGGGAAGCGCGGGGCGGCCCTGCCAATGCTCCTTCTCCCCGG